ATTAGGTATATTATTATCTATGTTCTGAATTAGGTATATTATTATCTATATCCTGAATTTCTATGCATCTCCCTCCATTGCCACCTAAGTGCAGAGGGTAGGTAGCAAAACTGCACAATGAGCATATGGGTTTAGGGGACTCTTAGAGTTGGTTTGACTCCTACTTTCACACTGCAGGCTGCTGGCAATAGGACCCTGGGCAAGTTAAACCCTTCTCTGAGTTTCTTGTTCTGTAAAATGAGGGGAGTACAAGAGCCTCACAGGGTTTGTTGGGAGGATCAACTGAGATGTTGTGGAGTGGCACATCTTAAATGCCCAATAAATGCCAGCAATTTTAACAATCTGCCCTCATTTAGGATACGCACACAAGGAAGTCACCGCCATCAATCACTCTTGGCACGTAATATGCCATTGAATCATTCAACACTGGCACATATTTTTAATTAATTGTAATTTTAACTATCTACTTCTAAAATCTTGAGACATGTTGAAAATTTAAATTTTTTTAAAAATTTCAACATTGTTGAAAATATAGTTAATGGTTCTGAAAGACTTATCAGAAACACCCTCCGAAAACATAAACAAAATCCAGCTGGCCCCTGTTCTCCTACTGTCACATCCCAGATCTATTTCTAGAGGTAAGCACCTTTACATCTTTTAATTCTTCTTCTGATGTTTGCATCTGTGTTTTAAAATAATGGGCTTATGTTGCTGTTATTGGGCATCTCAGTTTTAGACATGATGGTAAATGAAATTTAATTCCCTTACCCCGCTGCCCTACCTCTTCCCCCAAATGTCACACAACCTTGGGGAAAAAAATCAGTGTTGTAATTTTAGTAACTATGTATATCTTTATTTTTCACTCATTAGTCAAGTTGTACATCATGATCCTCTTTCCTTTTCTTGAAAGCTTGTTTTTATTATTTTTTATTATTTTTCATACATTTGGTTTTCTCTGAGTACTTTACTTGTTTTAAAACAAATGTAACAACGTGTCTGTTACACACATTGTTAATACTACTTTCCAAATGATTCAACTAATCAGACATTTCTTTTGTTTCTCCCTGGGACGGTCCATTTAGAGTTGTCCTCCGCTTATTTCCCTGGATACATTTTCTCTGAGACCCCTCTGTGTTGTGCGGTATCCCTGCTTGCCAAACCCTCTGTCTTCCCGTCTTGATTTCTGGGCTTGTTCTGATGAAGCACATCTTCTAATGATTCCTGAGGCTGGGTACACAGGGGGTAATGTTTTAGGGTCCTTATCTAAATACTTACCTGATACTTTAAGTCCTCCTTCACATCAGGTTTTTATTGAGCTGGATATAGAAGGCCAGAAAAAAAAAATCATTTTCTCTTAGAAATTCTAAGGCATGTTTATTTTTTAGTATTCAAGATTGCTATAAAGAAGTCTAATGCCTCTCTGAGCTCAATACCTTTCTAAATGACCCATTTCCCCCCCTTTGGCTCTTTAGAACTTTCTTGTTATAAAATTTCACAGAAATGGCTTTCAACGTGTGTGTGTATGTGTGTGTGT